GAGGGGCCTATGGAGATTTAACATCTAGAAATATGTGACTTCTTAGATGGGATTCTATGACAGAAAAAGGACATTGGATAAAAATAAAGAAAAATATGAACAAAGTATGGACCTTAGTTAATAATAATACATCAATATTAGTTCAATATATCAATATGTTAACAATAGAGGACACTGGATTGGAAGCACATGGAAATTCTCTGAACTATTTTCTTAATTTTCCTGAAAACATCAAACTGCTATAAAAAATAGTATATTTAAAGATATTTTATACTTAACTAGTAGCAGTTTTTAAAGTGTGGCTGGCAATGTAGAATCTGAAACAATATATACATTTTTTCATATTTTCTTACATTTTGTACTCTGAACATTTAAAAATTATATTAATTTAAAATGCTTATTTTGTCTTGTGCTTTTTCACATTAAAAAAAAAAAAGTGTGCCATGGCTAATTTTTGCAAAAGAATACATTGGTTATTGACAAATATTGGCTCCATGAGTCACAATAGGTCTTTCAAGTGTTGACACATTGAAGTATACAATATCAAAACACTGCATTTGCGAATATTACCATCTATTTCATCAGAAAAAAAAATGTTTAAGAATTAGGAAGCTGTCAAGGTCATGCTAGCAGGAACAAATTTTCCAAAGCTCTAATTTTTATTTGTTTGCTCAAATTTTATCACTGGCAACAAGTAGTTAGTTGTTTTCCTAAAACTGACAGTTGTACTCATTCATTTTCAAGAAAATGTCAAACATAATAGGAAAACGTCTGTCCTGCTTGAATAACCCGTTATATGAGTCTGTCACTCATTTTTTCAAGAAAAAATAGTGTTACATGAAAAAATGCCTGGCTCAACAAACAGCTCAAACAAATATACAAGTGCTTTCCTCTAGAAAACCATCATGTTTGGTACCTAGCACAGTGCTTTTTGTGCACTTCAATCATCACAAAGAATAATTAAAAGCTGTGATCCTCAGGGTTGAGATTCAACAAAGTTAATCATGCTTATTTCTTCTTCAGGGATATTCTTGTGTGGAACCAGACTTTTACATTTTTAGTTGCACATAAAATGCAAAGAATGCAATATGGTTTGGTGCTGCTGCTTTGATCTATGCTGAGGCCCCAGCATTTTACCCACATTACTTTTATGCCATCACTGCAAATGTCACCATGGTGAAAAAGGAAATAGTGTCTGGTATTAGTACAGATGAAACTCATCTGACAGGATCTTGGGGATCCCTACATGTCTGAGACCTGCATATTGAGAAACACTGACTTATGTAAACATATTTCTGACTTCACTACCCTCCCATAAAGTCAAGTGACTGTGTCAAAGTAAAGAAAGAATCCCTGAAAAAGTTTATGCTCTGTCCACAGAGAACACTTTGTTCCACTTTCCCTTACCACCACTCTGATATGCAGTTAGTTAGTGACAAGAAAAAAGACCATCAAAAGTATTCTCTTTTACTTCTCTTGAGCAGGCCTTCCCAGCATTTTTTCTATCATGGCAAGCAGAGAAAATGATATTTTTATTAAGGAAAGGAGGCATAGGCTGCCTGAAGTTGGAGGTCCCTAGCCTGGTGGAAGAGGCCCCACACCCTGCAATAGGTGGAAGGGTAGGTATATGTGCCCCTGGCTGGGCATGCCATAGCACACGAACTGGAAAGTTCCCAAGTGAGGCTTGCAGCATGGAGGAGGCCCTCAGACTGGAGGCTAGTATACACTAATATATAATAATATTTGTATGTGTGCAATAAGTATATTATATACTTATATAATATAATATATAAGTACTTATATAATATATTATATACTTATATAATATATGTAAGTATGGCTGACTGGCCTAGCCAATCCTTCTGTTCCCAGAGGAAAGCCCCCAGGGGGTGTGGTAGGATGAGGGGTGCCCGGGAGAGTAACAGGCTAGCTTCCTGCCTTTACTCCCCAGCACCAAGGGCGGGAGTGGGGATGTCTCCAGTCCTGCAAGCTGTCCTGCGCTCTGCTTTCCAGGGAGACGAGTGACATAGCCTGGAGCCTGTACTGAATATGCAGTTTCTCCCACAAGTGATCCATACCCTTCTCTCTCCTCTCAGTAATGTACCTGGACCCCCTCCCTCTGGCTTCAGGCCAGCTCAGTCAATGGGAGCCCCTGGCAGGAGTTCAGAGGGCAAGTCACAGGTTGGCAGGAACTGTGCTCCTGAACTTTAGTTCTCCGCCCCACAGCTCAGGGACATTAGCAGCTCTCCGCTATAGTGCCTCAGATATCACTGTCCACGTTGGTCCCCTAACCCTGCTCACCCCCCTA